ACTGTATACAAACTCTCCAGGTGTTAAGGTCCAGGTAGTATGGCAGTTGCCAGACCAAATCCAGGGGTACATAGGGTAGCCAACCCCAAAGGAGGAGGGTGGGGGAGGAATGGGGAAAGGAAAAAAAAAGGGATATGTGACTGGGGAATAGGGCACTGACCACCCAAGGGAGGGGGAAGGGTACTGTTTGTGTCTCCACAGGGAAAGAGGGATCAGAATTAAAGCCAGAGCCAGACAAATGCAGCTTGTTGGCAAGGAGTGGGGAGCCAGTGGAGGGGCCTGAGGGCTCGGCCCCCATGCCAGCTATGTGGACAACAGCCCCGCCCCCCAGAAGAAGCTACTTGAGAGGACAGCAATGAAGCTGCAGTTAGGGAAGAGGGGCATGTCTGATCAGAGCAAATGGGAGCATTTCAGAGGAGGAAGAGAGAGTGGAGCACATCCTGACCCACCAGGCCTGGAGGACGACATCCCCGCTCTGAACAGCCTGTGGACAGAGTGGACAATATGGCTGATCCCACCACGAGACACGGCATCCTTTGATGGCCCTGGGCTCTAAGGGGGACAACGCTGGAGACTCAGTGTTGGGACTGGCTCAGACTGACCCTGAGACACTGAGGCAAACCACAAAAAGCGTGCGGCAAAGCAACCGTGGGAACAGAGCAGAGAGGCCCCGAGGGAGTACAAAGGACAGACTTGGGGGCCAGAGCATGGTACCCCATCAGTCTTGACTTAAGGACATGCCTAGAGATAAAAATCAGACCTTGATCTATTTACAGGTTTTTCTTTCTGCTTAATTTTTTTTTCTTTTTTTCGTTTAATTAACTTATTCTGCTATGGGTAATTGGTTTCCTTTTTTGTTGCCATCGCTGTGCTCTCACTGATTGCCTATCTTGCTATGGCCTGGTTTTTTATGCATATTAGTATCTCTACAGATTTATCTTTATAAGATAGACTGGATGAATAGTCTAGAGGAGAAAACAATGGGACCAACGGTTCCGGGGGGACACGAGAGGCGGGGGTAAGGAGGTGGTGCTGACCAACCCAGGGACAGGGGAGCAACAAGTGATCCAAAAATAGTGGCAAGGAGGGTGCAAGAGGCCTGGTAGGGATTCAGCAAGGGAATTGTAACCGAGAGAAATCACTGAAACCCAAATGAAGGCTGACCATGATAGTGGAACAAGAGGAAAGTAAAGGGAAATAGAGGAAAGAACTAGAGGACAAAGGGTATGTATAGAGGTTTTAAGACTGGAATGTACATATGTAAATATATTTATATAAGAGTGT